TTATGAGTGACGCCGGATTATGTGCTAGAGCCATTCCGTATTAGTTCTCGGAGGCCACGGCGCATCAAAAGGTTGTCTTCTTTATTTTTTATAGCCACCAAGACATTAACTATAAGAAGTTCATTTCTTTTTGATGTTACAAATGACGTAGATTTTGTCTCAAGAGAAGTCATTTTGCCACGGCGCCAAATTTATTACGATGAATAGGGTGACAAACGAGCACACAGTCCACCTGATGGTGAGTGGATGCTGTGTCCCATAGATATCTACATTTTTTCTCGATTAAGAGTCAAAATGCGGATGCAATGTCACCCCAGAGAACAAAGATGGAATACCTCATTTCCAGTAAAAAGGGTCTCAGGTTAATTACACTCGCTACAAAATACAACAGCATTATAAGTTAGTATTCCGTGAAAGCGTGGTCTTACGTGATAAAAAAATCACATTGTGTCCGTGTTAATGACACTCTATCCGATTGGTCGGGTATCACTACGGGTGTACCTCAGGGTGGCGTTCTTTCCCCCCCTTTTATTTTCCATATTTATTAACTCTATTGCGAGTGTTATTACATCTAATTACCATCTCTACGCGGATGACTTACAGCTTTATCGTCATTTTCCGGTGGGTGATACAAATAATGCAATTGCAGCTATGAATGCGGATCTGGGCCGCATCTGTGAATGGTCTGCATCCTTCGGACTATTAGTTAATCCCACGAAATCTCAGGCCATCATAATAGGCAGTAGGCATTTGCGTAATAGATTAGAATTTACATCACTACCTTTTGTTTGTTTTAATGGCGTTCCTATACCCTTTGCCAATACTGTCAAAAACTTAGGCATCATATTTGATCACCATTTAACATGGACCACGCATATCGCTGAAGTAAGTCGCAAGGTCTACTTTACTTTGCATTCGCTTAAATTTCTACAAAATTTCTTACCCCTTAAAGCTAAAATATCACTCGTGCTTACTCTTATCCTACCTCTCCTTGATTATGCGGATGCCTGTTATTTGGATACTACAGAGGAGCTTCTTAATAAACTTGAGCGCTTGCAAAATCAGTGTATCCGTTTCATATTTGGGCTCAAGAAATTTGACCGTATATCTCAGTTTCGTAAGCAACTCAAGTGGCTTCCAATTCGACTTCGAAGGAACACTCGATTGTTATGTGTCCTCTATAACATTTTGCACAACCCTTCCTCTCCCACATACCTCAGAAGCCGATTTTCCTTCACCCATCCTCCGGACAAACCACGAAGATCCCTTGTTAAAAATCTTCTTGACTTTCCCGTCTTTAATTCCGGTTTTTACTCCCACTCCTTTTCAGTTCACGCGGTAAGATTATGGAACTCACTACCGTCAAATATAAGAAATTCCGAAACTTTGTTGATATTCAAGAAACGTCTTAGACATAACTACTTTGCATCCTGTTAATTTATATATATATATATATATATATATATATATATATATATATATAATATATATATATATATATATATATATATATATATATATATATATATATATATATATATATATTAACAGGATGCAAAGTAGTTATGTCTGGTCTTCCAGACCTATTTACTTGCCTTGTTTCCAGTAAATAAGTCTCCGTTTCTCTACATGCACCATACGAATTACAGCAGCGTTTTTAAATCTGCCTGCCGGCTGCGGCAACTATGGCATATATTACCTCTCACGTAAAAATATATGGGGAAGACCTATGTTCAGCAGTGGACTTTAAATAGGCTGTAATGGTAATAGATTGGTAAGATCTGTACAATATTGATATTAGTGTCTCGGTAAAGTGTTGTTTCCATAGAGAGGTCGATATGCCCGGCAGCAAGTATGCGATCACTACTGTTTGAAATTGTCGTAGTCGAACTCAGTGAGAAAATTCCTGTCTAAATATATTCATCATGCGAATGTCATTCCATATTATATAATAAATGTAAAAAATACTCTGAAAGCGAGGGCTTTATATAAATGAATTGTTTATCATGAGGATTAACGTGGTGTATTACGAGGCGGGCTCGGAAAACCTCAAACGAATGATGCAAAGTTATATTATATTATTTAGTAATTTATTTTATATATTGCTATAAATAGATAATTATAGGGTATACGGGCTTACCCAAGGCCTCTTAAAAATTCATAAGTCGAAATGGAGTAATGGGTTCTTTTACGCCGTCACTAACACGGTAAGTGTATATACACGTCGTATTTTTATTCGTTCATTAATTAATTACAGCCGTTGAACAGTCCACAGCTAAATATATTCCTCCCCCAGAGTTGCCACATAGGGTGTCACACTTGGCAGACAGGGTGGGTACCGCTTATTTTTCTATATTAAATAACCCGGGTTCGAATCCCGACTCAGGCCAAAATCAGTTATTGGGTTCTTTCGACAAGAAATTCTCAGTAAAATGGGAAATCTTGAAGAAGGCGGTGTTTTTCTGTGCCTTCGAAAGGTCGTTAAGCCTTTGGTCTTACGTCCAATTTTTTTTAATTACTCCATTCGTGTTGGATTGCCGTCCCAATGAACTATGACATTGAGAGGTGTACCTGTGCTTGTGCCGCACTCATGCCATGCAGTATAATCCTGTCATGCTCACATGACTTGTCTTGTAGATACGGTTTGATAGACGATCGTTATTATTAATACTTTTGTAAACATTGAGAAAAATATACATACAATACATACACATATATTACGCATTTATGAATATATACAAGTCATTATATTTAAGGTTTTTTTATACCTGCATTTCTTCAAAATGATGTCTCCATCTTTGAACCATTGCTCTGACGCAAGGTCTTAGTACCTGGTGGCAAATATCATGTCGTTCGTGGTAAGGAACTGCGTGTTCCACTTTGTAATCACTTCCATCACTTGGGATCCGATCTGTTCTACAAAATTCCTTAATTATCCTTAATAATCTCAAAATGGATGTCAGTGTCTTGTATATGGTGGGTAGACTCAGGAGTGACTTCTGGTCGAGAGCCTCTTGAAACTGTCGGGCGAGCACAGTGTGACACACTACGAACCCCGTCAGCCAGTAATGATGCAGCCCATCGAGCCCGGGACATTTCCAATTCGGGGCTCTACGGACCGCCTCAGCCTCGTCTTCCGGCGTTATGGTGATGGGGTCCATAGGCGTAATACTCGCACCCCGGCTCACCACAACTTCCATCCAAGGGCCCTCACTGGAGTTTACGGGCTCTGACCACAGACCACGCCAGAATGCGATAGTGTCACCCTAGTCCAGTCCTGGGCTCGCTCCACATACCTCTGGTCGCTCCAATGATTTATAGAGCCTCTTCTGATCACTCTGGAAGAGATGATTCTGGTTGAACTGCCTTGACCTCTCGGTAAATATTCAAATCTGCCTCCCCCAAGCAGCGATTTTTTTGCTTCAGGTCATATATGCGCTCCGTTAGTTTCTGCGTGGTATACGGCTGGGAAAACTGATATTTGTCCCAACAAACGCCATTGTTACGGTGCGCACAACCCTCGGTCTAATATAACTTGACCTTTGCGATACGGTCCTCGATTCTTTTTCTCCAGGTCATAAGTAGTTACATATGATATATATATATATATATATATATATATATATATATATATATATATATATATATATATATGTATATATATATATGTATATATCATATGTAACTATCGTATTTATTATTATTATTATTTATTGATTTATTTTATTTTTATTTATTGTTTTATTTTATATAATTTCCTTTATGGGTCTACTGGAAGATATTTCAGCGAATTTGTAATAAGTAGAACCTTTGTACGTAATTATTATAAGACTGCTTCTGTACCTTAATGTGTGTACATAAAATAAATTAAAAAAAAAATTAAAATTTGAAAAATTTAATTCTTAGATATGCAGGTTGCATGCAACAAATTACCAATTTTATTTGTGCGAAGAATAAAATATTTTGATGACCTGAAACATGCACCAGTACACCGTGACGGACAAACTGCTCCATAACCCTTTCTGAAATGAGAGAAGGCCTAGCAATAAACGTTTTATAGACTATAACTTTACTTTTTACGTTTTTATAGAAACTACTACTATCTAAAAGAACCACATTACACTGATCCGAGTAGCGCCGCTTGTAATAAATCTGTAGTAACTTTCATTAGTAAAACAATTTCAAGAATATAGGAAAATTTTTAGTAAGCTATAAAAAAGAAAATATATAATGTTTTTATAGTGGTGATATAACTTAATTTTTTTATTTGGCATAGCATTTAAAACGTGATAGAGCCACGATGCACCTATATAATGGTTGTAGCACAAATGGGACGGCTCTACCAGGGCGGGACCACGCTCCTATAGAATACCAACATAAAATAGCAGATTAATGCTGCTGTGTTTCGTATGGTGAGTGTAGAAGATCCGGAGATACTTTGTTAAGTACTGGAAATGAGGCATTCCGCGTTAGTCCTCACGGATGACAATACATCTACGTTTTGATTCTTAATCTATGTAGAGGTCTACGGACCACAGCATCCACTTACCATCAGGTGGACTGTGTGCTCGTTTGTCACCTTTACTCGATATAATAATAATGTCCTCCCGACCGAATTTCGGCCACGGCCTCAACGGAGGCTAGCCATCGGCGCGGGACAGAATTATAGTGCCCAAGTGTATGCGCAAGCACAGGTGCACTCTCTATTCCCTCACTATTATAATCCGATGGGACGGTAAACCGACACGACGGGAGAGAGATCAGGCGCAGGACCAAGGACTTTACGTGCTTTCCGAGGCACGGGGGTGAGACACCGCCAACTTCCTGACTCCGAGCAACTACTGAGAATTTCTTGATAGAAAAACTCAATAATTAATTTTTTGGCCCGACCCGGAATTCGAATCCAGGACCTCATGATCAGCAGTCGCACTACTACAACCACTAGAACAACGAGGCAGTTTTTACTCGATATAATAATAATAATAACCCCACCAGAAGGCTTGGTGTCGGCTGGGTCTTCTCAGACTCAGCAAGCGGCACCCGCCGCTGGTGGAGCACGTCGCATGCGTTGGACAAAAATTATGAACGAAAATGCATTGCGGGCGTATTATAGGCTGAAAGGGGAAGAAACTGCGGGGATAGCGTATAGAGCTCGGATGCATTGGTTTTTTGTTGAGCTGGAGTCGTCTATTCCCATCACGGAACAAAACCTGTCAGACCAAGTTCGGTACATCATGCGCTCGAAAATATTTCATGATGCCGAACTCGAACGACTACGACGCGAGGCTATTCCTCCATCGAATGAATCGGCTATAGCTTGGAATGCAGCTCCACAGGCGATAGACCAGCATCCACATGTGAAAACCGCCATGAATCTTCCGATTCTGGTTGGTTCGGACGATGATGAAATAGTCTCCCACGAACTAGAGTAAATGAGGAGCGTATTGAAAGAGGCAATTTTGTAAACGCGCAGCATACCTTTCGAAAATCGACTGCAACTTCCCCGCATACCCGTAATCAAGCAAAATCCGGGTGTCGTGAGGGCCCTTAACCCAATGCTGGTGACTGCTGTGAATGCTGGAGGCTGGTCTATTTGGAAGCCAGCCGGGACCTTTGCGAGACGGACTCAATTCTTTTTGGTGCCGCTGTGGCAGTTTGCCGTATTATTGGCGCCAAACTTCCCATGGCTGGACGCTCTACTAGACTAGAAAGTAGCGCCATCCCAGCCTGGAGAAAAAGAATCGAGGACCGTATCGCAAAGGTCAAGTTATATTAGACCGAGGGTTGTGCGCACCGTAACAATGGCGTTTGTTGGAACAAATATCAGTTTTCCCAGCCGTATACCACGCAGAAACTAACGGAGCGCATATATGACCTGAAGCAAAAAAATCGCTGCTTGGGGGAGGCAGATTTGAATATTTACCGAGAGGTCAAGGCAGTTCAACCAGAATCATCTCTTTCAGAGTGATCAGAAGAGGCTCTATAAATCATTGGAGCGACCAGAGGTATGTGGAACGAGCCCAGGACCGGACTAGGGTGACACTATCGCATTCTGGCGTGGTCTGTGGTCAGAGCCCGTAAACTCCAGTGAGGGCCCTTGGATGGAAGTTGTGGTGAGCCGGGGTGCGAGTATTACGCCTATGGACCCCATCACCATAACGCCGGAAGACGAGGCTGAGGCGGTCCGTAGAGCCCCGAATTGGAAATGTCCCGGGCTCGATGGGCTGCATCATTACTGGCTCACGGGGTTCGTAGTGTGTCACACTGTGCTCGCCCGACAGTTTCAAGAGGCTCTCGACCAGAAGTCACTCCTGAGTCTACCCACCATATACAAGACACTGACATCCATTTTGAGATTATTAAGGATAATTAAGGAATTTTGTAGAACAGATCGGATCCCAAGTGAGGGAAGTGATTACAAAGTGGACCCCGCAGTTCCTTACCACGAACGACATGATATTTGCCACCTGGTACTAAGGCCTTGCGTCAGAGCAATGGTTCAAAGATGGAGACATCATTTTGAAGAAATGCAGGTATAAAAAAACCTTAAATATAATGACTTGTATATATTCATAAATGCGTAATATATGTGTATGTATTGTATGTATATTTTTCTCAATGTTTACAAAAGTATTAATAACGATCGTCTATCAAACCGTATCTACAAGACAAGTCATGTGAGCATGACAGGATTATACTGCATGGCATGAGTGCGGCACAAGCACAGGTACACCTCTCAATCTCATAGTTCATTGGGACGGCAATCCAACACGAATGGAGTAATTAAAAAAAATTGGACGTAAGACCAAAGGCTTAACGACCTTTCGAAGGCACAGAAAAACACCGCCTTCTTCAAGATTTCCCATTTTACTGAGAATTTCTTGTCGAAAGAACCCAATAACTGATTTTGGCCTGAGTCGGGATTCGAACCCGGGTTATTTAATATAGAAAAATAAGCGGTACCCACCCTGCCTGCCAAGTGTGACACCTTATGTGGCAATTCTGGGGGGAGGCATATATTTAGCTGTGGACTGTTCAACGGCTGTAATTAATTAATGAACGAATAAAAATACGACGTGTATATACACTTACCGTGTTAGTGACGGCGTAAAAGAACCCATTACTCCATTTCGACTTATGAATTTTTAAGGGCCTTGGGTAAGCCCGTATACTCTATAATTATCTATTTATAGCAATATATAAAATAAATTACTAAATAATATAAATTTAAATACCTAGCGGCAGGGCGCAGCGTATATAATAATAATAGAATGGGGAAAACACATGTTCCCGGTCCAGATTAAATAATTTTCTTTATTAGTGCTAGATGTACGTATTATATTGTGAATATGAGTCAATTTGGTTGATTACTAAACGATTTGATAATAATTTTATTCAGCGCTACCAATTGGATGCTAGTGTAGTGTAGTGTAATCATCATGTCGATAAAAAAAAGGTATATTGTGTGAATGCCTCAATGGTCAAGTCCTACAGAAGTAAAAGACACACAAACGATTATACTTATAAAGCTAAGTAAAGGTTAATAATTAGCAGAACATACGTGATTGATAGGTACCCTTTATTTTTGGTTATGATTTGTACTGCAACCGAAAAGTTCTACATAATAGAGAGGCTATGACCAGCATTGAACTGTTAACAAGCTGATTAGAGTGAGGATACATAGCTAAAATATGGTCATACAAATCAGTGTGAACATTAAATTATCCAATTTTAATAACTATAAAAAAGAAGTGTTGCTTACAATAATGTTTTAATACTAAATGTTTATTTTCTAGGGACTTGAATTTACATTTCCTTAGAATTTATATTTTCACAGTAGCTTGTTATAATGTATTAACATAGCCTTCAGGCGCGCGTGTTTCTGAGTTAAATTATTTACCTGTCAAGGAAAATTTTAGGCAAATAAATTATTTTTTAATAAAAGCGAAAAGCACTAGCAAAAGGATAAGTGTTTTCCTTAAAAATTTATTGTACGTGAGCAAACTGAGCTTATTCTGATTTAGGTTTAGATTCACATCTTTCCCAGCCGTGAATGAATTCCCAGATACCATAAGAAGCCTGCCGGGCATCGGCGGTAGCCTCTAAACAAAAACCCTTTTTTAATAAGAGACAGCTCCGTTAGCATTTTTTTTTTCATTATACTATTAATAGTAGACCTCGACTTATTGGCATCTATTTTTTTAAAGTAATCATTAATGCCAATTTTTTCATTTCACATAGAAATTCTCCAAGATTTTCGGATAAAATGTAACTCTAAGATCACTCCAAGCATTGTTCTCTATGTGTTCATGTAGTTTTATCACAGTCGGTTAAGACATTTCGGAGATTAGCCCGGACAGATAGACAAACAACAAAATTTTCACGAATGGTTATTCATGTCCTGATGGCACTTATAAACACTCTCGGCTTAAATTGCGACATTCATCATCATCATCATTACAGCCCTTCACAAGTCCACTGCTGAACATAGGCCTCCCCCAAGTAATGCCACAAAGCACGGTCCTGAGCCACCTGCATCCATCGACTTCCTGCATGTCTTACCAGGTCGTCACTCCATCTAGTGGGGGTCGCCCTACACTACGCCTACCGGTACGAGGCTGCCACTCGAGAACCTTTCTTCCCCATCGGTTATCGGTTCTTCGAGCTATATGGCCGGCCCATTGCCACTTCAGCTTACTAATCCGTTGGGCTATGTCGGTCACTCTGGTTTTACTGCGGATATCCTCATTTCTGAGTCTATCACGCAGAGAAACTCCGAGCATAGCCCTCTCCATAGCTCGCTGAGCGACCTTAAGCGTCCTCATACGGCCAGCAGTGAAGGACCACGTCTCAGATCCGTAAGTCATCACTGGCAACACGCACTGGTTGTACAATCTAGTTTTTAGAGATTGAGGTATACCTGACGAAAAGATATGCCGTAATTTCCCGAACGCTGCCCAGCCGAGTTGAATCCGTCGATTGACCTCTCGGTCGAAGTTGGACTTACCTAGTCGGACTATTTGTCCCAGGTAAACGTATTCGTCAACAACTTCGAGCATAGTGCTCCCAACAACTACCGGCATAGGTGTGACATGGACATTGAACATGATCTTTGTTTTGTCCATGTTCATCTTAAGACCTATCCGTTGGGAGGCACTATTGAGGTCATTGAGCATAGTGCTTAAGTCCTCCAGCGATTCTGCCATAAGGACTATATCGTCGGCAAATCGAAGGTGAGTGATGTACTCGCCATTGATGTCAATACCGTATCCTTTCCAGTCCAGTAGCTTGAAAACGTCTTCCAATGCAGCGGTGAAGAGTTTCGGGGATATAACGTCACCCTGTCTTACACCTCTCTGAAGTTGGATAGGTTTCGAGCTCTGGTTCTGTACTCGGATAGCCATCGTAGCCCTACTGTACAAACACTTCAGCACTTCGATATACCGACAGTCAACTTGGCACCGCTGAAGGGACTGTAGCACCGCCCACATTTCGACGGAATCAAAGGCTTTCTCATAGTCCACATATGCCAGGCAAAGTGGCAGATTGTACTCTTCAGTCTTCTGTACAATCTGCCGCAGGGTATGTATGTGGTCTATGGTACTGAAGCCTTTTCGGAAACCGGCTTGTTCGGGAGGCTGGAAGTCGTCAAGTCTGCGTGCGAGACGATTCGTAATGACTCTCGAAAACAGCACGTAGACGCGGCTCAGAAGGGAAATCGGTCTGTAGTTCTTTAAGAGAGCGTTGTCGCCTTTCTTAAAGAACAAGACCACCGCACTTCTGCTCCACGCCTCTGGAGTAGTGCCACCATGGAGGACGGAATTGAAGAGCTTCTGAAGGACTTCAAGTACCGGTGTTCCACCCGCTTTCAGAAGCTCCGCTGTAATTCCATCCTCGCCTGGGGCCCTGCCGTTGTTAAGGTGCTGGAGAGCCATTCTAATCTCGCTTAGACTGACGTCCGGGATATCATCGGAATAGTGTCGGATAAGACTTGCTCTTGGATCGTTACTCACACTTGCGTGTGGCTCCAACGATGATGTGTACAGCTGCCCATAGAACCTCTCAATCTCACTCAAAATCTCAGGTGTCCCGGAAACGATGTTGCCACACTCAGTCTTCAGCCTTGACAGTTGGCTCTTTCTGGCAGACAGATCTCTGGCAAAGACTTTGGAGCCCTGGTTCCGCTCGATCGCTTCTTTAATACGAGAAGTATTAAAGTTGCGTAAGTCTCGCCGTATGCATTTGGAGATCTGTCTGTTCAGTTGCCTGTATGCTGTCAAATCTGTTGACGATTGCAGCCTCATCTCCCGTCTAACAGCCATGAGATTAAGAGTGTGATCGGAGAGTTTTTGTGTTCTTCTGCGGCGGGTCTTGCAGAACTTAGCTCCGACCGCATGGACAGTTTCCACGAGCTTGTCGTTCATATCGTCCA